TAGAGTAAAACTAAAATATTTCGGAAACAAGACACATATGAGAAGCCATATGACACGTTTCCAGCCAGAGGAGGAAAAACACTCGGCTGTAACGTTACCGGTCGTTGTTATATTATTAATTTACTACAAATATGCTGCTGCTAGTTCAGACACACATGTATTTTCCTGTTGGTTCTTTGCAATGTTAATAAAATATATTGTACGTTAATTCTTTATGGGTCATTACTTTGTACTTTTAAAGCAAAGTATTTATAGTCACACACACACAAAAAAAAGATTCTGATAATCGATTTAGCATCGAATCGCAGCCCTCTGAATCGTAATCGAATCGAATCGTGAGGTGCCTAGAGATTCCCACCCCTAATACAGTACCCATCAAAAGTTTGTACACCAATAGGAAAGTGTGTCCAAACTTTTTACTGGTACTGTACTATAATACACATACATAATTTTGCTACTGTATTATAATATACACATAAATAATATCGGCTGATATATCGGTATCTGGCTTTTTTTTTTATCAGTATCGGCCCCCAAAAATTCATATCGGTCGGGCTCTAATTTTAAAACTCCTGTAGTGTGAGCCAGGCATAAGGGAGACATCCAAAATAGCTAACATTTGTAATTTATTTAAGGCTGAAATGTTGCACGTATATGTAACAAGCAAAGTATTTATCATAATGTACTTTAAATAACATTACAAGTAATGTCATGAAGATGTCAGCTCTGCTTTTGTTCATAAATGATGTTGTACAATGAGGATGTTTTCACGTCACCGGAAATAGAGTCATGAGTGTCCCAATGTGTAGTGAGCCAGCGTCATGTACTATCCTTACCAGTCCCCGAATTCATGAACACGATATACTGATTCACGAGCTCGGGAGCTGATTGAGACTGTCATAGACTACAATCATACTGTCAGTCCAAATCCGATTATTTGTGTATGCGACTGGAATCGGATCTTAATGTTTGTCTATCCACACTGTGTATTGCAGTGGTTCTCAACTGCGGTCCTGGATATGTCTCAATCCGCTCCCTAGCTTCTGAGGTCACGAATCAGTATTTCGTGACACGAATTCGGGCACTGGTAAGGACAGCAAGGACCCTGGCTAACTACTCATTGGGACACGGATACATGGCATCTTTATGCCATATTTTTTTAATATTTAAAGGTGCTCTACGTAACTTTTAGCGGCCTCTAGTGGTGATATTTCAGATTGCAACCAAATTTTACAATAGCGCTCGTGCTCAAACTCATAGACAATACCGTCTATTACGCAAATATCTCGGCGAATACTAGACGGATTCGGCGAGCACCGAGCTCGTTGGGGCCATCTAGTCGAGCTGAAAAGAACCATATAAGTTCCATAGTTTTTGGTGGTGTTTTCGCGGAGATATTAGCAGAAAACCATCGGGCGCGCTGCAAAATTGCGGACGCCGGTGACGTCACGATCTCAGAAGAAAATCGCTCGTATCTCTGGAACGCAAAGACCCAGAGAGCTCAAATTCGGGGGAGGAGGTCCCAGGGGAACCCTTGCCCGAACGCTAGAGTGGCGGGCCTCGGGGATGCCCCCTACCGGATCGCCGTTCACTGGGACCCCCGATTTCGAACGGCTATAACTCGGGGAGCCGGGCGAGTTGGACCTCGGGGGTGGGCTCGTTCGAAAGGCCCCGTCCAGCACTACGAACGATTCGAGTCTTGGGAATATTGATCAAAGATTGACTGAGATATAAGCCGAAAAACGTGCGCCTTTAACCGGACGTAACTCCCTGACCGTCTACAATAGACTGTATTTAAGGAGAGAGGCTCGGGAGCGCGCATGCACGTCACATCCGTTGGATTTCGCGGTAAATCCGACCCAGAGACTACACATAGAAATAGGAATACTGGCCTTCAGAGGTAATAGCAAAACCCGACAAGTGGATCATTGTAATGTGTGATTACAACCCCTTCACACACAGGCAATAAAAAAAGGATTCATTTTAGAAGAAAAGTTCCATATAGCACCTTTAAGGTACATTATGATAATACTTTGATTTTTACATAAACATGCAACATTTCAGCTGTAAATAAATTATAAATGTTAGCTAGATAATATGTTTATGCTGATATATAATGAAATAATATAATCTGTATTTTATTAAAAATAGTGCTGGGCAAGTTAACGCGTTATTATCGCGTTAACGCATTTATTAATTAATGCCGACAATTTTTTTATTGCGCGTTAACGCATGTTTTTTTTTTTTGAAAGTCCGTTGCTCACTGGCTCTGAATACACATAGTCCTATAGTCAAACCATGATCACAGGAGGGGTGGGATGTTGGTCAGCCAGCAAATAACCCACCCAAACAAGCAGTGGAGAGGCTTTGGCAGGTTCTCTCAGGTGAACAGAAAGGGAGACAGCGCTCCACGAGTGAATGACAGGCGCTCTATGGATAGTAACCATGGCAACGGCTTCTGTGCGCTACGCAGCTGTAGCCTTTTTAACTTAAATTAAAATTATACATAACTTTACCTGATAGGCCTGCGTTTAGTTTAGCGGGGATGCTCTGCCATGTGAATTCCCTCCTGTTGATGTCCTGATAACTATTTAGATTCTGGAAACTCACAAACAGCGAGCCGAGGATCAGTCTCTCTTCCAATGATTTGTGCTGCGCGTCGTGTACAAAAAGTTAGACAATTCCACTTCGGCAACGCACGGGCGCGTGCGTGAGGCGAGCATGACCGCAACAGTTTCACAGGAACGCACCCGCTTGTCGCTGCACCTGTGCTCGACCACTTCACCTCACTCTAGGCTGATTTATACTTCTGCGTCGGACCTACGCCGGAGCCTCTAGTCTACGCTATAGACTACGCGTTGGTTTTCATTTATATATCTGCGTCGTTGTCCGCGTTAACGCGCAATTACACATGCAGAGGGAGAGTGTGAAACCCGGGGAGCGGTTCTAGCAATCACAGCGCTTGCGGTAGGCTACGCGTAGAATTGACGTTACATTTTTGGAGAGATGCACGTCAGGGTACGCGCGCTACACAGCTACGCCGTGAGTTCGACGCAGAAGTATAAATTGGGCTTTACCTCTGTTTAATGTAATCTTACGTGGGAAACCATGGCATGCCATGACCAAACCTAAGCTCCTATCAGAGAAGTAACGTTGGTCGACTTATATCTGTAGTTTGTGCTGCTGCTCCCTGACACAAGATACCTGTTCAGAAAAAAAAAACAAGAAAACTGGACTCTTTTAACAAGCTAGATAAAAGGTAATGCCCTGGCAGTGGCAAATAGCTTTGTTTAAATATTTGATTTGATTACATTAATGTTTAAGTTGAGATTTACAAGAAATATTTTATTGATACTGTGTAAAGGGAATATTGCTGGTATAAAAGCACCTTATTTGTTTAAAGTTTTTGGAAACCACATGTTATTGCACTTTTGTAGCAGTACATTTAAATCAAAAGTGCGCAATACACTACTTTAGAATTCATTATTCAATTTTGCGCGTAACAATGCGATTAATCGCGATTAATCGCACGAAAATCATGCGATTAATCGCGATTAAATTTTTTAATCGTTGCCCAGCACTAATTAAAAAACATCTATTGCTTCTCATCATGTGTAGCGAGTTGGCTCACGTAATTCATGTTTCACGCTTCAGAAATTCCGTTTTTCTCAGTGCACTGTGGGACTTTTTAGGGAGTGAACGTTTCAGTGCACTGGAACGCACCCCTGGAGACCCACCACTCTGCACATTTTGGCTGCGTCCCAATCCAGACGCTCCTTCCTTCAAAGGCTGATTGTGTCACAGCGGCGTGACAAAGGCTTTCCCAATTTAAAGACTCCTTCAATTGCACCCTCGAAATGCCTCCTCCGTTTTGCGGGCAATGAAGGATACAAACGGATGGATCCTTCACAGCCTAGCCCATCCCAGAATTCATTGCGTGCCAGTGATGACAGGATTTTTTTTAGAGAAACTGCCGGATTACACTTTTAAATATCAAGCGTAGTGTCAGTTCTGGCATTGTCAGTATTTTAAATACTTTATACTCTTTATTATGTGCAAGAACCAAGGTGAACATATTTAGACAGGTTGTGAACCCTGTTTTGTTTTTAGGCAGTTGAATATAACTTTTTTTTTAATCCAGTACAAACATTACTGCCCCTCGTACACGGCAGCTGTTACAGTCACAAGAACAGTCCTCCGTAGGCTAGACCGTCCCATTTAACAACTCCCGGTCCGACCTTCGTGGACTTTGAATGCGTGCGTGGCCTTTGAAGTCCAAGTTTTTCGAAGGATAAAGCCTTTATATATCTTCTTTATTTAACACGCCTAATTTAGATCATCAGTTCATTTGAAAAGAGCAACACGAACTGAGTCAGGTAGATAAAAGAGTGATACAAAATGTGCAGAGAGGTGCGATTTCAGATTCGATTTATGTGTCCCATGGCACTCTCTCCGGAGTATTTGCTTTGGTTTCTATGGCAAGGACGTCGTGTTGGTAGCCAATAGCCATACACCAAAAACATTTGAAATGTTGTCTTAATACTATGCCACTGCGGAGCCGCCCGCTGGATGTCTAATGAACCAGTGGCAGAAACGTAGGAGGCTGATATGCACAGCTTTATCCCAAGCTGCTGTCTCTGCTGGTCTCAAAAAAGGTTTGCAGACCAGGCCGATTAGCAGTGACTGGTGGATTCGTGTGGTACCCAGATTTGAATAAGGTGAGATGTGAATAGGATTACAAATCACATACGGAAACAGATTAGTAAAATTGTATGATATATATATTTTTTTTTTCTTTACACTTGCTAAATATGATCAGATTCCAAATGGATATTATGCACATAAACTGGATTTTGACTGTCAGTCTGAAAAAGGCTTTGATTGTCTGTCTACAAAAAAATGTAAATAGTGCAGAAGGATGACAAGCATAGAACTTTCAAAAACAAAACCAACATCTATATTACAGAAAAGTAGGTAAAACCAATGTGGTTGAGACTTACCAATCCTTTCAAAAAACCTGTAGACCTTTTTCAACTTTGTCAATTCCCATTTCTCTTCTGGAAACATTTTTGGATGAAAGAGCTTGGTAGCATCTTTCACTCCTGTGAGAGCCATAAAATCACTAACGTTCTGTCTTAACATTTCATTTTCTGCATTAGAGAATCTTCCATGTCTCAACATGATGCCTGCAGACATAAGAGTGAAAGGCAAAATTATGTTACTTTAACAATTACAGTATTGTAATAAAATAGTAAATGTGTGTGTGTGTGTGTATGTATATATGTGTGTGTATTAGACTTGTAGTCGAGACCGCCTAAACCGAGACCAAGACACTACCAAGACCAGATGGTATTGAGACCAAGACAAGACCAAGACCAAGACCAAGACAGACCAAGTCGAGACCAAGACCAAGTCGAGACTAAGACCGAGACCAAGTCGAGACCGGAGGGGAAAAAAACATTAGTGTTGAAGCTAAGCAATAACTTGTCAAATGTTGTTTTGCATTTGCCTGCTTATCTCTGCTGATTTCGAAGTCTCCAAATGAATCCATTCTGCAACTTTTAAATACATAATTATATTTTTAAAAACGAAATTATAGGCTTAAGTGCAGGATCCGAAAGTTGGTCGTTTTTGTCGCTATGGTTACACACACACACACACACACACACACACCGTTGGCGGTGCGCTCAAAGTCATCTGTCAGTTCAGTTGTGCAGTTACCTAAAATCAATTAAGGTAAAACCCATCATGTCACTGATATGTGTTTTACTAAATATTAATATATCAAAAACTGTACATGATATGTGTTTTTTAAATCAAGTGATCAAAGTGCTCGTTGCCGCTGCGATCAGTGGCGCGGATACAGTGTTTTCTCGCGTGGCTCGCGCGCACCGCACTGTCTTCACTCGGACGCGCGCTTCAATACGTTGCGGACATCGTCGTGGATATTGTAGTATTGTATTGCTCAATCCCCTGACCACTATGTCGGTCTGAGACAGCGAGACCTAGACAAGACCGAGAGGTCCGAGACCAAGACAAGACCGAGACCAAAGACCGTCAAGGCCGTGACAAGACCGAGACCACGTAAAAGTGGTCTCGAGACCAAGACCGGTCTCGAGACATACATCACTAGTGTGTATATATATATACACACACACACACACACACAGACTGACATAATAATAAAAGTATCCTTCCAAGCAAGCTTAAGATTGACAAATCAAAAATACTACATATATTTGATCAAATCAGCCTACCTTGCTTTCTGAATTCTCTGAACCTTGGCAGGTCATACACGATCATTTTATTGATTTCAGATGGGTCTCTGGATTCTATTTTAGGACAAAATTCTTTCAGTTCATTCAGGAGATTTGGATCAACTAGTGGTTCTTCCAAACGGTTTTTCTTTTTTCTGCGCTTTAAAGTACCAGTTAGTACGGCAGGTAAGCCACTTTCCTGTTCTTGTGCCATGTGATCACAGTTTATCTCGGTTGCATTTTCTCTCTTTTTCTTTGCTTTATCAGATTTCTCTTCAGTTGAACTTCTTTTTTTCTTTTTCAGTTCTTGTGATTCTGCTGTGGGTGTTTTCATGTCCTTTACTTGATGCAGGCTTGTGACACCACCATCCATCATTGAAGCCTCCTCAAAGATGACAACCTCGCCTCCTTCATTTAATTTTCTTTTTTTCTTTTTAACTGTATGTGTCTGCAGACTTATATTCTCCAATTCTCCAGTGTTTGTTTTCTTATGCTTCTTTTCATTTTGCTTCTCAGTCTGCACCTTTGAGCTTTCAGTGAGTTCATGCAAGTTCGTGTTTTTCTTTCTCTTCTTCTTCACCGTTTGCTCATTAAAGCGGCCCTTTATGTTATTACGGGAATCTGACTGCATTTCATCCATTCTTTAAAGAGCAAAAAAACATGACGAGGCAGAAAACATAGAATAACGTGCTTTTTAAAAATAACGTTACAACTTGCCTCTTGACAGTCTTGCACGTGTATCGCGCGTCATCCGCACATCCGATTAAAAAAAATCACATTAAAAGCATTATTACAGGAAGAAAGTGAACATATGTTTAGCAATATATAGGTATAAAGCAAAATTCTTCGTTGCCTAGATAACTTTTGGCGCAATGTTTTACACGCGGAGTCGCGGACTCTTCCTCCTTTACTTCTTTATCGCAAATTACAAGGTGCATTCAGTAAAATAGAAGGTATAGTGCCACCTTTCAGACAGGAGAGTCATTACAAACATTAGCTTTCCAAATGTATGCTAGCACACATACGGTAAGCTGAATAGCACCAGAGAATGTCTAGCACCCAGGCTGTCCATAACACTATTCTAACTATATCTGCCATTCAATATAACAAATGTAAGTATAGGATATGTTATTCAGGATTCATCCAGTATCTGCTTAGTTCTAGCTCAATGTTGCTAATGTGTGTGTAAAATGTTGTCTACGTCGGTTCTAAAATGGTATTAAAACTCTAATATACATAAAATCATTATAATATTAAACATTAAAAATTAAATATTTATAGTGGTTAAAACATGTGTCATGTGTGACAGTGTCACACTACAAATAAAATAGCAACCAGCAATACAAGCTAGTAGTAATACACATATGCATGCATCTATTAAAATAAAAAGAAGCACTCTGTTGATAAAACTCTAGCAATTAGTTTTCAAATCTTATTCCCCCCACTCACTACATAATAATTGTAAAAATATAAAGGCAAACAACACAATTTATTCATAATTATAGTATAAAATATCAATCTAACTATTAACCATTTAATAATTTTAGTTTGATAGTTTTGACAAATTCTTTTATTGTAGCTCATATGTATGTCTACTTTTTCAGACAGAAATTAATTTTAGAGAGTTGTTTTGTATTCTTAAAATATAAAAGGCAAAAGAAACAGAAAGGAGACTAAGAAACAGATATACAAACTAGCTATTGGTAAAACAAAAAATAAAAGTCAATAAAACAAAATTTAGACACAAAACTAATTTTAAAAATCAAAATAATTTAATATAAAAATTTATTTATTATTCAGAGTAGATTTTTTTTTACACCCATGTACTTATTTATAAGACTTCCCTTTTGACCACCAAAATTTGTGAATGTAATATTTATTGGTTTAGAATATACCCTGAGGCAACAAACCAATATTTGTGTATGATGTTGGAATATACCAACTTTTTATGATGGACACGGTATATTATCAGGGAATAGGGTGTAAAAATAAAAATTCATGCCATAGACAAAGGGTTAATAATTTTTTAGACTACATTAAGTTTTCCAATGTCTCGTAGTAAAAAAGTAAAACATGCTTTTATAAACAAACACCTCATATCTAACCGTAATAAACAAAATCTTTAATTTGTTCATGTCTGTGGTGTAATGCTGCCACCCTCTGTACTGGAGCATCAGGTTGCAAAACAACACTGTTTCGCCAATAGGAAGTAACTACGGTAGAGCTTCGTGTTCAAAACACTGTCAACGGATCAACAACAAAAACAAGCAGAGCGATTTGCTGAACCTTTGTCATTGGTAAGCGTATCAAACCACTCACGTAAAATGTCAAACATGTATTTCGAATTTTATTTATTGTGCCTGTGGATGCCGAGAGGGGCGATGTATTATAAATTAAGGCATTGTATTTATATAACGTACTTTTATTTTATTTTTCAAACATCCAGCATGGTAAATATTCAATCCTCTGGTAAGCGCACGACATTTGCCTTTTAATTTCGTTGTTCACATTATAAGCGAAAACGCTAAACTACATTTCGGTGCAGCCTAATGTTGTTTTTGTGATAAACAACAGTAGATAGATAGATAGATAGATAGATAGATAGATAGATAGATAGATAGATAGATAGATAGATAGATAGATAGATAGATAGATAGATTCCACCTCTCTTGTCTCGCTGTTGTCACCTCTGTGGATGCCTAATGTTACACATTAAGTTACTCTATATTTAGCTTATCGTGAAGTCATAGTCAGTTTAAAAGGACATGTATTGTGCGTTATTTAAAAAAAAAAAATACTAAAACTCTAAACACTCCAAAACAAAAGCTAGTGTAAATTCTAAAGAAGTTTATATTGCAAAGCTGCAGAATCTGGTCGAACAGCGCTAATCCAAAACAAACGCGTTGTCATGGCAGCCGTGCATTTGAAATTCAACAACTAGCCCTAGTCAATGTGCAATGCGCAGCTGTTTGCAATGCATTCAAATAAACGGATGACTCCTGACCTGCTGAGGCTTATTTTAGAACAAGTATAGTCAAGTTAACAGCTTTCAAAAATGTTATCATGAAACATTTTTTTGTGAAATAACTGTTGTTTTGGGAGATATATATAGTTATAACATGTGTACCAATAACACTAATCGGTTAGATTAAGGTTTTTGATATTCACACTTTTCTATCTGTGATTGTTTCTTAAGTATTAGGTCTAACGTTAGTGATAATGTTAAAGCAACTTATCTTCGTACATAAATCAACACTGACCCTATTGACTTTGTTAGCGCATGCAATTAATCAGTGAAAGTTAATCTACAGAAGAAAAAAAATAGTTTGAGGAGGTGTGTTAAAGGCACAATATGTACGATTTTTTGGATAAAATAAACAAAAACCACTATAACAATATTATTTATTTGATTGACTTGTGTACCTTACATTATCCAAAATGTTTATAAGAATGTTAAAATCCAGAGAAATCAGCGATTTTAACCAGTGTAACGACCTGTCTTTGAATTCCCTGTCAATGATACATAATTATGTTACCCTCGATTTTAGAAACCATGGAAACACCAAATACGCTTTAATATGTTATGTGTTTTATTAGACAGGTGAGCAACTGTTTGGATATCTTTATCGACAGAAAACTAAACAGTGTTAGTCTTATTGTTTGAATCCCTTGTTTTCTTGATTTACTGTGAGTAACATGTTTGTACCATGCCTCAGAGACAACACAATTTTTTCAAGTGGCTAGCATAATCAGATCAAGCTTTATTCGTAGTAACGGTAATATAGCATTTTCTCCACCATACAATACATTATAAAAATTATTTGCATGCCATTTAGCAACACAAGTCATCTAGCTTTTATGATGTGAAAGGCCAAGGATGGCAACCCATAAACAGAATTTGTCCTCTGCATTTAACCCATTCAACACCTATGAAGGTGCTCAACCATATCCTGCTCAAGAGGCTCCAGAAGGGGGTCGATGAGAAACTGAGGGAAAACCAGGCTGGCTTCAGGAACAACAGATCCTGTGGAGACCAAATTGCCACCCTCAGGATCATTATTGAACAATCCATCGAATGGAATTCGCCTGTCTATGTGAATTTCATAGATTTTGAAAAAGCCTTTGACAGTGTGGATAGGGAAAGGCTGTGGAAACTGATGGCTCATTATGGGATCCCAACAAAGATCATTAACATCATAAGGAGCACTTACCAAGGGGCGAGATGTCAAGTCCTCCATGAAGGATGTATATCGGAGGCATTTTAGGTCCTGACTGGTGTGAGGCAAGGGTGCCTGCTCTCACCCTTTCTTTTCCTCCTTTGCATAGACTGGGTGATGAAAGAAACAACCAACAACACACGAACCGGCATACAGTGGAGCTTGAGCAAGCAGCTAGAGGATCTCGATTTCGCTGATGATCTGGCACTACTGGCTCACACACACCAACAGATGCAGGAAAAATCTGGAAAACTGGAGGAAACAGCTGCTCTGCTTGGTCTCAAAATAAACTCATCAAAAACTAAAGTATTGCGTATCAACAGCAAGAACAACACACCCATAAACATGGATCAAACTGCACTAGAGGATGTAAGTAGCTTCACATACCTCGGTAGCATAATTTCAAGGGAAGGTGGCACGGAGGACGATGTCCAAGCCAGGATTGGAAAAGCAAGGACAACATTCAACATGCTAAACAATATTTGGAAGGCAAAAAACTTCACCAACCGGTGCCTCAGACGCCTCCTAGGAATATACTGGCCCAACATCATCTCTAACGCCAATATGTGGGAACTCACCAAACAAGACCCAATAGAAATGCAAATACGGAGGAGGAAATGGAAGTGGATAGGGCACACACTCAGGAGAAAGAAATCAATCATTAAACAGGCACTGACGTGGAACCCACAGGGCAGGAGGAAGAGAGGCAGACCGAGAATCACCTGGAGAAGAACCACAGAACAGGAGATGAAGAAAGAAGGGCTGACGTGGCAACATCTGGAGAGGAGGGCCCAAGACCGGAGAGGATGGAAGAGTTTGGTTGATGGCCTATGTTCCTATGGGAATTTAAAGGCTTAAATAAAAATAAATAATTTAACCCATCCAAGTTAATGCACACACATTAGGATAGATATAAGTGAGTAGTGAACACACACACACTGCAAACCATGGACACACTCACCTGGAGCTGTGGGCAGCCATTTACTGTGGCGCCCGGGGAGCAGTTGATATTCTAATATGATGTTCTAATATCAATCTTACTGCAATGTGCAATAAGTGTCTCATACCAGCCGCACAGAGTAATGTTAACATAACTTTAAAAACACATTATTTAGTACGATTGTTTTGATCAAGTAAAACAGCACTGTGTTACCCCACAATTTACTTCATTAGATAAAGTGACCTGTATGAGTAGTAATGAGTAGTAATTCTCACAAACGCTTGCGGCTGTTTCATTAGAATGAAATAAAATATTGTGAGTTTTAGTGATCAAACATAACTGTAACAAAGTACAGGGAAGAAGAAGGCGAACGTTAAATGTGACTTTAATCGTAAAATAAACAAACAACAAATCGAAAGGAGCTGCAGCAGCTGACTGAGGCATACAAGCTTAATAAAAACAGCAACGTAAAACACCTCGGGTCAACTCTTCATACCACACAGTAACGTTAATAAAACTTTAATACATTAGCTCACCTATGAACATGATTACTGGCTGAATCCCATCAGATTGCTTTCCATTGGCTGCGGAGGGGAAGATGACAACTCCCATGATTTCACACATTTATTCACGGCATCATCAAGCTACTTCTTTGTTATTGTTTTGAATAAGCGGCAAAACTTACATACTGAGCGTTTAAAATCAAGCCCTATAATCAAACCCTTTTTCTTAGAGCAACAGTCGGTTTGTTAATCAGGTTGTTAATCAATGGAATGTGTTTAAGTTGAAGCCATCTGATTGCATTATTTCTAATTATTTCGGACAATTCTTGTTTTCAAATCAAATCCCTCCTTACATTTTTCTCATTCCAGAAGCCATTTGGATATACGTCACAATAGGAAGAAAAAGTCAAGTCAAGTCACCTTCATTTATATAGCGCTTTTAACAATATAGATTGTTTCAAAGCAGCTTTACAGTTATAATAGGAAATTAAAGTAACAGAGATTGTTTTGGCTTTACAGCAGCTCTAGAATAAAGTTATTGTCCAGCTAAAGTTAATTTTGATTGATTCACTTCCGTTGCAAAGATCATTAGTTATTAACTAATGGGCCGCTAACACGACACCGTTCTAACAGAAAACCTTGAAAAATGGTGAAAAAAACAACAACAAAAACTTTGACTATCGGATAGAAGTCTGCTGTGGAGCTTGCATCAGTGCGGGCTCGGCAAAAGTGTGCATCGAAGGTGCATATATATAGGGGGCGCTCGCGAACACCCTTCTGAAACCTAAAATGACAAATGGGACACCCTAGGGTCTCATGGACTTAACGGACACAAAGTCCACAAGACCAAAAGTGCATATAAAGTGTGCCATTTGGGACAGGGCCAGTCTCTCTGAAACAGCTAGGCTTGTGTGTTGCTCCCGGTCAACAGTGGTCCGAGGAGTGACAAACCACAAACCGTCAACAGGGTGTTGGGCACCCAAGGCTCATCGATGCAAGAGGGCAATGAAGGCTTTCCCGTCTGTTCCGACTCTATAGAAGGTCTACTGTGGCGCCTATAGAAGGTCTACTGTGGCACAAGTCACACAAAATTTGAATGATGGTTATGGGAGATGTTTCACAAACACACAGTGCATCGCACTCTGCTGCGTATGGGGCTGCGTAGCCGCAGGCCAATCAGAGTGCCTATGATGACCCCTGTCCACCGTCGAAAGCATCTACAACGGACACGCGACCGTCAGAACTGGATCTTCGAGCAGTGGAAGAAGGTCACCACTTCCGATGAGTCTCTTTTACCTGCGCCATTTATATGGGGAAGTGTTGGCACCAGGATGCACAGTGGGACAACAACAAGCCAGTGGAGGGAGTGTGATGCTCTGGGCAATGTTCTGCTGGGAAATCCATGTGGACATAAATTTGACACGTGCTCCCTACCTAAACATTTTTGCCGTCCAGGTACTTCCCTTCAGGACAATGGTGTTCCCTGGTGGAAGTGGCCTCTTTCAGCAGGATAATTGCACCCTGCCACACTGCACACATTGTTCAGGAATGGTTTGAGAAACATGAAGAAGAGTTCAAGGTGTTGGCCTGGCCTCCAAATTCCCCAGATCTCAATCAAATTGAGCATCTTTGGGATGTGCTGGACCAACAAGTTCGATCCACTAAGAATGGTGGTTGTAGGAAAGGAGGTTCCACCTTTCATTTTAAATAGCCAAATACCTATTTGTTTGTCAGATTTTATTCCTAAATTAAAATGTTTTTGAAACGTTATTTTAACAATTTTGTGTTTTGCCTTGTTTGAGTAGAGCAACACTTGCATGGCTGGAAATAGCGGCTAGGCATTACAAATATAGCTGCTTATTAAATATTGTTATTTGTGAATATAGTCATGGCTAAGGAGCATGGGTAGACACAAGTGCTATTCAACAAAAAAAAGTGATCCACTGGGAGTTGATATAATAGTCCATTTGATATGGTGATCAGGTATTTCACATTATAGCTGTTAAACTCACCATGAAATAAAAAGGTTTGTTCGACTTGAAGTGGCGCTGCGCTGACCGTTCAGTTTATGACATACATACACCAATCAGTCTGAGCAGCAAGATAAGGTTCAATCTACCATGGACTAATAATGAAAAATACTTATATAAGTATTTGTTAACTTTATTTTATGTACATGTTTTGACATTTACTTATTCAAAATTAGAGCGTTAACCCATAATTTTTTTCAGTTTAATGTGTTAAAAATATTTTTCTGCCATCCTTGAGCTAGCATTACATTATATGATCATTATACACGCTCTTATTCATGCAAATGCTTTTAAACCATTCAAGCGCGACAAGACAAAATAGAATGCGCTGTTTGTTAATGTCCTGTCTGTGACATACACATGACACACAGAAAGACACGCGCCAGAATCGAGTTCTCTTTCATGCTTGAACGAACAATAACACGCAGAATTATGCCAAAATGCCCGTGTTGTCGAGCAGTCTTAAATGAGTTAATGTCTTAAATTAAATGAAAGAGTTTAAATTAAATTAAATTAAACAGCGTGGCAGATATTAAAGTCACAGCAGCCTAATAAACCAGTTTCTGTGATGCCTGTCATTTTGTTAATCAAAGAACAAAGGTAACAGAGAAAATTGTAGCTTTATTAAGGATTAATCTATACTTAATTTATTATTCATGCAGTGCCACAGTTAAATATGACATTTATTATAATGTGATATCAGTTCACTTAAATTAAAGTTGGTTTTTAAAGCCTAATAAATGTGAAATTGATATAGCTTTCAATTATACTGTTGTCACGGATATCCAAGGAATAACAACCAGGATTATTTTCATAGCTCAGAACTGAATAGTGAGACAGCGTGCAAACATCACACACGAACAATACCGGACAACTGAAGAGTGCACGAGGAACCTAAATACATGGTGATGATGACAAAATAAAGAACAGCTGTGATGATTAGTGTTTGTGTCCATGGTAACTGATGAGTGGTGGGAAACCAAGATAATTTCATGAACTGAACATAATCATTCAACTGTAATGTTGATAAGACAACTGTATTGTTGAATATCTATCATAATTTTTTTTAAATCAATTTCATAGAGACATCAGTATTATCAGTGATACTGGCCTTCATTCATACAAAGATGCCATTATAACAAATAATTAAAATATACTGTCTTTAAGTTGTTTCTACATTAATTTTGGGTGTAACTGTGAAATTATTACAGTATAAAAATATTAAAAACTCCAATGTTTTTAATTGCGATTAATTACAGGAAAAATATGCAATTAATAAGTGTGTTTTTTTAATCGATTGACAGCACTATTTGTAATACATTATTAAAAATCTAAAACTGTATCTCTCAATATTATTTAATGAACCTGAGCTAACATGAACTAACAATGAACAGAACAGTTGTATTTTTTATTAACGTTATTAGCGTTAACAAAGATGAATAAATACTATAACAAATGTATTGCTTTATTATTAGTGAATGTTAGTTAATGCATTAACTAGCTCTAGCGTTAAATAATGAGACCTTGTTGTAAAATGTAACCCTTTTGATTGTGTCCAAAAACTGAAGTTAAACCGAAATTACAAACTGGTTCTTTATATTGCTTATCAGACACATACACAAAATATTTTGGAGTCTAATTGTAATGCAGTCCTTTACTATTAGACTATTAAAAAATCATTTTACTATATAAAAAAAAACTTTGTCTGGTCTGTTCAGACAACATTTTGGAGCAAGGTGAATCTTGCTTTGAAGTGAAGTTGTGAGATGTACTTTGAATGGACTTCACAGGATGTTGTGACAGATATCTGTCTGTGCCGGTTTCATTTCTGAGGATTAGATTTAGATCACTCCTCTGCTCATGGAAAGATACCTACAGACAGAGTTACTCAGCAAGCCAATATTTCAGCAATTAAGATCTCTTTATTCCTAAAGTTTCTTCTGTCAATACAAAAGAAGCTTGCACGTATGTCCAGAGCGCTACATCCGTTTGCACCACTGGAGTTTTCCAATTGTGCTTTTGTATAAAACAGCAGCATATGGGAGTCGGACAAAGCATATTGGATCTGATTTCAAGGGCAGACCTTTCCATACCCGTGCTTGTGTTACCTCTTTTAGACATCATAAAGGGATAGAGGAATGATTGTTCTGTGACCACAAGCTTTCCATGTGACACATGTGCATCATCTCATTTGTCCGTTACTGTCTATTCTTTTTGCTATTTTTGAGTCAGGGGCTGTGGGACAACCCCCCGCCCTGACCCACGAGGCCGTAGGTTAAGAGGTCCATTCCTAGATGCTGTATGTCCATAGCAATCGGGGGACTATATCAAAACCAGACAGGAGGCGAGGCCCACCATCAATGTGCTCCTATTTGACCTCCAGATCAAATGTGAGTCAACCGGGTTCACTCTTTTGGCTTTAACCTTGTAACATTGTTTTGTAATATAGAAATCAATTGGTTTTTAGTGTGGAGTATTAGTGTTTTGATCATTTGAACATCGATTCAAGTGAAAAAAGAATCAATGATGCAAATTTTTTGTGATGCTCAATTAGTTAAAAAAATATATTCAAATGTGTGTAGCTTTGCATATATATATATATATATATATAATATTTTATTTGCATATTTTAACTAAATGTTTTCACGTTTTTTGGGGGGGTTTTTATCCGCAAAATTAATCATCTGGTCATGTGGTATAGATCTTAGAAAAGACTCCCCAAAAACGTAATGCTATTTATTGAATAATAATTCATATTTATAAAAAATTACCTTCAAATATAGGCTATATATTAAAAATGATATATTGCTTAAGATGTGTACACTCATGTGTATTCAATGTATAAGGGAAGGTTTTCAAGGTTTTCTTTCCTTGCTTTTTACACCACTTGATATAAGTCATTAAATTGAAACTTTTCTTGTAAATGGTATTTAAAAAAATCAAAACCATATAAAACCAACATGAATACAAAGTGTACAAATACATGAAGTACAAATGGAACTTGGCACATGTGTTTTGGCAACTAGATTTTTCCTTTTTTTTAATCGTGGACTGACACTGTCATTGACCCAAATGTCAGCTCTTTTAAACTTGTACTAACCTTTGCCCTGGTTGAAAATTCCAAACAACCCTATTCTAATGTTAGCAAATCATGTCATTCAAAGACATGCTTGTCCACTCATCCACAAAACTGATAAAAACATGTTTGTTTTACTGGAACTGATGCTACAATCAATTGAATGATACACATACATGCTACTCTATGTTTGCTCAGCTGAAGGTGTGAGAGTGGGAGGAGAGGTGAGATGGAGACAGAGGAGATGGAAGGACGCACTTTAGTGCAGGTGATCAGTGAGAAGTACAGCCCAGAAAACTTCCCATACTGCCGTGGGCCAGGAGCTGGAGTGGTGATCCGGTCAAGTCCCCAGGGTTCACCTGTCAAAGGTCAGTTTTATTTTTGGCTTTAGGTGAAATGCTGAGCCTCCTAGTTAAAGAAGGTGTGTTAGATATGATCTGGATCCTGATACACTTGTTGTTGCCATTTAACACTGTTTTGCTAAGTTGGTAGAACTGTTGAAGGGCACATTATGTATTCTAGGGCCAAAAACTAAAGGTTATTCCAAATATATGAAGTTAACCCTGTAAATAAATAATGTTTTAATAAATATAAAATGTTTGTATCTTAAAATTTTAATGAGTTTAATCATATAATTACATTAAACTGGTATTTAAAATTCCATTTATATCTGTGTGTGTGTGCGTGTGCGTGTGTGTGTGTGTGTGTGCGTGTGTGCATGTGTGTGTGTGTGTGTATGTCTATTAGATCGTCTAAATCTGCCCAGCATCCTAGTTCTGGATGGTTGTGGAATTACAGAGGCCGGAGATGAAGAGGAGGTGGCCACTTTCTGTGCTCACGTGGTTGAGCTAGACCTCTCCCACAACCATTTTAAAGACTGGGGAGAGGTGAGAAAAAGGTGTTTGTGTCTCTGGTGTATTTACATTTGTTTATATAGCACAAATAATGTTCCCATTCGATGTCACAATAAGATATAGGTAACACTTACTGTGAGATTCAATAATATTGAATTCATTAACATTACCTAATGCACAAGGTATCATGAAGTAACAAGGAACATCAACATGTACATTTTAAAAATGTATTAGTTTATGTAGAAATGAACATTGACCAAGATTAATAAATGCTGTAAAAGTTGCATTAAATCATGTTAACATATAGAACCATATTCTAAAGTATTACCTGATTTCACTAGTCTGATAGTTGGCTGATAGTCGGTCACATTTACCATTGAAAATAAACATTAAACCAATAAAATCCAGTCATTTCAATAGAAATCCGCACATTCAGGAATTTTGAATACGATTTTTTTAACTTTTCCCCTCACAGATTTAGCATCGGGTTCAGGTTTTGTTTAGACAAATTCACCACGTTGACCAACAGAATAGTATCACTGCTTGCTTTGAAAGTGACTTCTATCTGAGCAGTGCTGTATATCACTACATTATTGATAGTGCACTTTTTTGCTGGCCATATTTGGCTAATGTTACCGCACCTTTACTTTGACAAGTGTATTTTATGCACAGGTGAGACTGTAACATTTAACAGTATAATGAAATAGAGGTCTGCTACCTGACACATGCTCAACAAGACAAACTGGTTGGGTTCGGTCAGTTATTCATTCTTTTCTCTCTTTTATGTAGATAAGCAAGATCCTGTTTAACATCCCTAATCTAGACTTTCTCAATCTGAGTATGAATCCATTGAGAGGGTCGAGTCTGGAGCCTGGAACTGCTGAAGCATTCTCAGGCCTTCGCCGCCTTGTGCTCAATAACACGTATGTCACCTGGGACATGGTGCACACACTTACACGAGAGACCCCAGAGTAAGTGTGTGTGTGTGTGTGTGTTTTTAACATTTCAGTGGCCTTAGTCTGAACTTGCATGTGCTGCTGCACCTGGCAAATTATAGCTTTTTCTTACATGTCTGTGTTTTTGCTAAAGTTTTTTTTTTTTTTTTCAAAGCATTCATTGTTAGGACAAACATGTTGTACCACCCTAAACTCACACCAGTGGTGGTTTAGCTGGTTAGCAAGGCCTTGTAAGCCACTGCTGGTACATTACTTAACTACATAATTCTTGGGGCCATAATAAATTGCAATTGACAGACATTTTAAAGTAGCCGTATGTAATTATATTTTTTGCAAGCAACATATAGTAGATGTTTAGCCAGTGCCTGATGTTTTGAAGTGCTCTTAAAAGCATGAACTTGATTTTAATCAAAATGTTTTTAAACACTATACCAAGTATTAAGCAATTTTGTTAAAATATTTTCCCCAAGAAATATAAGATTATACCAAACTCAATTTTTTTGTGTTTAAATGCACTTTTTCTTCTTTTTTTTTCTAAGACAGAGAGTAACTTCACAGAGATTATTTTTAGCATTGTGCGGCTGCCGTATCGCACTAGTTGCAGGAAGTATACACCCATCATTTTGTCATGCACTAAATCTTGTGTTTTTCTTGTGATTGTATGATGTAGGCTGGAGGAGTTGTTTCTGTGTCTGAACGAGTATGAGAGTGTGAGTGTGTCATCTATATCGTACCCATCCCTGCGCCTGCTGCATATCACAGATAACCAGCTGCAGCAATGGGTGGAGGTGCGTAAGCTGGGCCTCATATATCCGGGCCTGGTGTCTCTTATCCTGGCAAACAACTCTCTCTCGTCTATCCACGAGCCTGAGGACTCCCTACATAGACTCTTCCCCAACCTGCGCAGCATAAACCTACACAACTCAGGTGCATAAACACCATCTCTGTAGACAGAAAATCAGAAAGTCTGTAAGGCTGGGTGCGGGATCATTTTCCTTATTTAAGGAATTATATAAATATAGGATTTAAAAGAATTTATGGGAAGAAAGGAAAAGAAAAGAAAGAGTACCAGTAAAATTAAAGTTAATGATGAAATTAATAAAAAAAAAAATTAAAGTACAGCCAAAAAATAGGGGTTCACATGAATTGTGCACTGTATTCCAGGTCTTCTGAAATAAAGCAATATATCTGTATGAGGAACAGACCAAAAAGTTGTAATTCATTGAAAATCTTTTCCTCCACTGCAGGTCATCAGCTTTCTGTGTAAATATTTTTAAGTACCTCTCCTAAATAATCATGTAGTATATCTCAACGTTGAACTTACTGGTCAATGACTTTACTTATGTACAGCCAAAACAATCTTTGTTGCTTTAATCACTGTAAAGCTGCTTTGAAACAATCTGTATTGTAAAAAGCGCTATATAAATAAAGGTGACTTGACTTGACTATTAAAGGGTTAGTTCACCCAAAAATGAAAATTCAGTCATCAATTACTCATGTCCCTAATGTCATTCCAAACGATAAGATATTTGTTCATCTTCAAAACACAAATAATATTTTTAATGAAACATGAGATTTCTGTCCCTTTCCGTCAATTGAAAGTCCATTCTACTAAAACTATGATGCTTCAAAAACTTAATAAAAACAATGCACACATTATCCATATACAGTAAATCGAACACGATTTAATTCCAGCATAATTTATTACAGCACATCTAATATGATAAAGGGAAGCTCAAATGTGCTTGCTTGATGTGATTTGAACTATCAAAGTTGTGTGGAGTGTCAATGGAGGGGCAGAAATTAATTTGTTTTTCGAGGATGAACAAAAGGTTTTTCTGTTTGGAATGACATGCGGGTGAGTAATTGAATAAAAAAAAAATGTGGTGAACTAACCCTATAGATTATTAGCTAATATGTAGTTTTTGTGTTATTTTAGGTCTAAGTCGCTGGGAGGACATCGAAAAACTGAATTTCTTACCAAAGCTTCAAGAGGTCAGAGTGATGGGTATTCCTTTACTGCAGCCCTACACCGATCAGGAGAGACGTTGTCTTATGGTAGCACAGTGAGTAAACGTACACAAAAGTAGCCACTTTTGCAATTGTTTATAATTGTTAGATATGATTACAAAAATGTGGCCACCAATATGGAATTATAAATGTCCATGCATTCATACACTCCCTCACACACACACACACTTGTCCTTCTGCTGTGTTTTGTAAGGTTGCCTAATGTGACTGTATTGAACGGCAGTGTTGTCACTGATGGAGAAAGAGAGGATGCAGAACGCTTTTTCATCCGCTACCACCAGGACTGCCCTGAGGATGAGTTACCACAGAGGTAACCCCACACACACCCTTTACAACACCACCACACTCAATATACTTAAACTCTTTCAATCTCTTTCTCTTTAAATAACTATATACAGTAGATTCTAGAAAATGACTGGTGCCTGTGCCATGGAAATATATATAATTGAACCAGTCTATAAAACAAACCTAAATAAATAGCTTAGTTTTATTCCTTCATAACTGCAAACCCAAGTCTTATCTGTGACTCATGTTATCCATTTTCCCACAGTTTAATTTGTTGATGGGGGAAATGTTTATTTTGTGACTACTCTCTGCAGTTGTAGACATTCCCAAATCAGTACCTTTTAATTTTTGAATATCCACAAAATTGGTCTCATTCATGAAACATTCGTAAATATACAAGTAAATATGAGAGTGATTTGCGCGTAAAGAGACCTTCCCGAAAACTCATCTCCTGATTCACAAATACTTCGTAAACGTCAGATGTGATAGTAAAATGTGTGTGTGTGTTAATGAATTCCAAGCAGTCGTAAATAGGACGCGCGTGCACGCTCATTCTCAATTACCATAAATCCCGCCCATTAAATCCGACTGACAACTATATATGGGCATCATATTATGACACCAAACGAAGGATTTCAACGTGTCTTCTCAAAAGCAAATGAAAAAGAAAAATTTCTCAGATGCAGAAATCGAAGTTTTATTATCAGAAGTTCATTCAAAACACCACATTTTATTTTCAAGTGTAGGCTACATAGTGGCGTATCAGGTCCTAAAAAAAAAGGAAGCTTGGCAGCATATTACAGATGCAGTTAATAGAGTTTCATCTGTTAATCAAACAGCCCCAGAAGTAAAAAGAAAATCCTATATATAATATTACTATATATAATATTTTTTCAAAATGCTGTGTAAATATGTAGCCTACCCGATTAAGGTGAATTAAAATGCAGCCTTAGTTATTAATGAGCAAAACGTTCGGATGTTAAACTCAGTATTTACGCGTGGCTGGGAGCAGGTGTAGATTTGGAAGTAGGAACATTTGGAAAATACGAACATTTTAAATAATCCGAAAATTTACGCCAGAACCACTTTACACTAGCCTGACTTCGTCATACTCATATTCTAGTCAGAATGTGAGTCTGATCCTGCTCCATAGGGCTTTGATTATGAGGCGTGTCTTAACCGAACCAGGGAAGAAAAAAAACTCTGCACTCAATTGGATAGACCTACAACCAATCAGAGCAACGCAGTAAGTTTTTTTTTTATGAGCTACGCAAATTGTCAACAGAACTCAACTACACGCACGCTGGAAGAAGTAGTAAAATAATGAGTGTTGTTTCTTTTACTTGGTCCTCCATGAGTGCGACCAAAGGAGAAACCACAACGACCACAGGGTTTTCATTGCGTCCCATCTTCTTAGCGACCATCGGAGCCAGCTGATAAAATAAACTTTTGCCGAATCCCGTACGAAGGACGGCAAACACATCTTTCCGATCGACAAATGCCTTGATTGCAGTTCTCTGTTCGTCTTTTAAAATTAATGCGCTGCCGATTTCTTTTACAACAGACGCAATAGCGGAATCTATAATCTCAATTCTCCAGCTGCAGTCATCTTTGAGGGAAACCAGTTCAACCCAAGCGCTCGTTGATAACGTGATGATTACGTAACTGCAGATCATCTGTCCATCATCGTATAAAGCCCGCCCTGGCAATTTGATTGGCCCGACTAATTCTGAACCGATCATAATTACTCCTCAATGGAGCGAGTCCAGACCGAACTTCCCGACCAAAAAATGTTGTGGGCGGGGTTCGGGCTGGCATCCAGGCTAACTTTACACACGATTTACACAAAAATTCGTTCTGCTCGTGTTTCATGAATGAGACCCAATAGGTCTATATAGAAACAGAGGGTCCTACAGAAATGGAAAATTTTACAAGGGTGTAAAGTCTCGATGAAACAGAAGTAGCTTAACTTTTGTGTCGTAAAGTACATCCTAGTAAAACAGATTATTGAGAAAAAAATGTAATGTTGGGTGGAGGCAGATCAGCTGAATGCGAGCTTGCAGTCGATTGTAAACAGTAAGAAAGAGATCCTGCATATGTCATCAAAGATACTGTCACCAGTATTAAATTCTAAATAATGAGCTGAATAAGTGTTTTTTCCGTAATTTTGGTTCTCTTACAGTCGTTCCTCAAGGTTAGTTTAGTCCTTGCAGTTTTCTATTTATCAGTATTGCTTATTCAATTGAAAGTGGTAAAAGTAGTTAAAGTGGCTTTAGTTTACAAAACCTTTTTTTCTTTCTTTTTTTTTTTTGCTTCAATGTAATAAAATCTTAACAATGGGAGAGAGCAGCCACCTCTTTCCGGCTTAGCATAAATAGCCTCCCTCTCTCTCTCTCTCTCTCTTTCTCTCTCTCTCTCTCTCTCTCTCTCTGGCCATGTCTTAAGTATCATGGTGGCCATCCACTATTTTCAAACCTGTTTTCCTGCCACTTCTTTTTCTTTAGTTTGGTGCCTCCAGTTATCCAGGTGACATTTAACTATCCCATCCCTTATGTCTTACTGCTTCCTCCCTTTCCTCATTGATTCAGTTTTTTTGGGGGGACTTTCAGGGAATATTTTGGAGGGTCTTTGCAGGTCAAAGACATGGAAAATGGATCACCCACGTTCTTTTGCACACCCCATTCCACTTAACCTGAGAGAGTGTACGGAGGACTTTTTCAGTGACTACGGCAAGCCCCAGCTTCCAGCAGGGGATTCTAACCTTTGGGACACAATGTGTCCACTCTCTCCCTCCTCAAAGACGTCTTTGTACTGGAATACTCCAATCAGAAAATCGATACACAAGGTGGCAGCTTTATTCGTTCTTCCCCTCCTTACATCCCCCTCTCTCCCTCCCTGGTCTTCTCTCCTGCCTCTTTTCATTTGCTTTAGAGGGGATTGAATTAGCTGGAGGATTTTTTCGAAAGGGGATGGAATGACGTCCCTGACTCAGTCTCTCCTATTTTTCCATTGAGCGATGGAGACGCTGTTTCCTTTGTTCTGGAATGGCTCTGAGACCTAGTGTCTAAACAGTTATGACACAGAACTTCCCGCTCTAGCTTAGGGATGTCACAATGAATTTTTGACTGTGCGATTATTGCCTGATAAAAGATCACGATTTCTACAATTATTGCAAATTTACCCTTTATACAACAATAAAAACACCCACAAAAATATAATTTTATTGCAGCATTTGTTAGGATATGCAGTTAAGATCTACATTGCTACTTCTAACTGAAAACAAGTTGAAAACAAATACTTGTTTTATAATTGTCTGTTGAACACAAAAGAAGATATTTTAAAGAATGTTGGTAACCAGACAGTTGACAGTAGTCATTTACTTCCATAGTATTTTTTTTTCCCTACTATGGAAGTCAATGGCTACCGTCAACTGTTTGATTACCAACATTCTTTACAATATCTTCTTTTATGTTCAACAGAAGAGAGAAACTCATACAGGTTTTGAACAACTTGAGGGTGAGTAAGTGATGACAAAATTTTTGGGTGAACTATCCGTTTAAAGACCCACTCCGATGAAAATAATGTTTTTCTAGGTGTTAACATGTTCTTGTGGCATTTTTCTGATGTTAGAGGACATATCTTGAGAAAAATCAGCTCAAAGTTGTATTTCTGAGTATTTCTACATTCAAATGGCTGTGAATCAGTAGCAGACGCTAAAATGCGGGCTAAAATCGAGTTGTGACGTAGTAACTCCACTGGGCGTCTCCACACGCGACGTCTTGGAGTGAAATAATGATCGGTGATAACTTTGATTAACTTCGGATAATAATAATTAACGTGTATATAATACTGTTGCCCCACCGGTATTGGGGATGTAAGCTAGCGGGAGAGACAGAGCTCTCAGCAACGGGCAGGGGGAGGGTCGTCTTTGTGCCAACGGCTCTGCCCACAACGCAGAGGCGAATTGCTAATGAGCTACTGCCGCTCTGCTGAAGCGAAGTCCCAGAAAACGGCACAGGTTTTGTGATTTTGGCTAAAAATGGCATAATTATAATTTAAAGGCACACTGTGGAACTTTTCAACCTTTATAATATATTACCAAAACCCATTGAGATGGTACATCGACTTACAATAGGTTGAATGACACGTCTGCCGAAGCCTGAAGGTGTCTGTATCGCTTTTCCTAGCACTATGTAACTTCGGGTTTCGGGTAGGAACCCGAGCACAAAAAGAACTACAAAATTCAACCGCTTTACGGCATACGTCACTTCCCCCACCACCCACAACTTCCTCAGATTCTGACGTGAGTGCTCAACTCGCGTTTGATTGCCGTCTGTATGTTTTCGTCATGGCCGAACCAACAGCTACAAGGAAGAAGGCAAAGGTTTTGTCAGAGGACACTAAAAAAAAGAAAAAGGCATAGTGACAAATGAAAAGCCAAGACGAGGATCACCATTGGTCCAGCGTTCGCTCGCTGGCGTGAGCTTCAGGAGGAGGAGGGGTGCCCGACCGATGCTGACGCTTGCCTGCACACAAATGCCGTTTCCAAGGTGACCCAGATAAATCATATAAGTAGTGTAGTATTTTCTGGTATTCCGGCCACAGCCGATGGTGTTATGAGTGTAATAAAATGCCCACAGCCCATTGTTCATTTCTACACACAAACACAGCCCGCCACAGTGCAGGGCTCGCACAAATAAAGTCGACTCATGTCAAATGTACATTAAATGTAGCGAACGTGCCCACGACTCAGTGCCCACAAACACTACACACAACATGTCCCACGGTTTCTGTAAAACGAAACCAACACACATAAGTTACAGTCAGCTCAGGCCGACGGTGTTTTTAGTGCAGTAAATGTGCCCGCCGTCCCGCGCCCACATTCACTCACAGACATGTTAGCACTAATGTTAAGCCCCACGGGGCTCGCCCCGCTCGCTCTCTCTCAGCAGACTGCTATAAGGGAATCGAGCGCGGCAAGGCTGCCCGCCTCAAACACTGCAAGCACACACAATCTAAAGACAC